AAAATACCCCACAGATCTGTATACTGGCCAATTTCATTGAGGTAATTCCTCACTTGAGGCTCCTCTTCCAAGGTGTGTCTAGGTTTGTGCCAAAGCTTATCCTCAAATGGCATGCAGGGTTATTGCACTCAGTCAAGACATTACAAAACAGAACTTTCCAACAGAACTATTCAAGAAGTTAACGAAAGGCACACTGAGCCATGGTCTCTACCCCAGGAAATAGAAAGACTAACTGTTACTGAGGGCTGTTCTTCTCTCCCAAGGGAATGAACAATGACTGTTGATATTAATCCATCTAAAACACATAAAGAGACATTAAGACCAACAGCCTATGCCTGGCACAGTAGTGTGAACAGCTCAACTGTGAAGTTCTTCAGCAGTCTGCAGAACAGGCTCTCTCAGTCTTCCTCCCCATCAGCATGGCTACTCTCACACAGATATTGCAGTCTCCGAGAGGTCCCACTGTGTCTAACCCACTTACTCCCTGTCCCTAATGCAGTGACTTCCAACTGGGAGAGACTTTTCCTTTTAAAAGATGCTTGGTGTTGATAAGATTCCTTCCCTGAAAGAAACATAAACAATGCTCCAAACACACACACACACACACACACACGCGCGCGCACACACACACACACACACACACACGGTCCCAACAATAAACCAGGTACAATTCCACTCAAGTTTACGCCAGAAACCAATGAGTCTATTGGGGTTGCTTACAGAGCAGTGGGTGAGGAGCTACAGACAGGAGCATGGATAACCCCAAAGCAGGAACACTGGGAGGTTTGTGCCCAGCATGGACGCTGCTGCTGCTGCTCTGGCTGCAGAGATGGAACCCCTCCTGTAGGCCTTGTGCAATTAGGGCAGAATTGTATTCAACTAAGTCAGAGGAATGGCTAGATGCTTTGATGAGGGTTCCATGACCCTCCTTACCCCCTTTTCTATAAAGGAAAGTCAAAAGTCATCAGGCCCAGCTGTGATACCATTACACAATTGGGCACAGCTGAATTCATAAAGATGCTGGCAATTTCTAATGGAGGACAGTCCTTTAACACTTGGCAACATCCAGAGACATTACTGAGCATTGGTCAAAGGCCTGCTCCTGACACCCAGAGGGCTGAAACATCCTACAATGCACAGAACACTATGACCTGGAGTCAGAAATAAACATTCCTGACACTAAGAATCCAGATTCCACCGTGTTCTGTAAATAGTGCAGTTTGTGGCCTTGTTTCTTTCTTTACCATTTATTTATTTACTTATTTGGTGGGGTGCTGTGGGACACACGTGAAGGTCAGAGGACAAGTCGTATGAGCTGGTTATGTCTTTCCACTATGTGTGTCCTGGCAATCAAACCTAGGCCATCAGGCTTGGCGGCAAGACCTTTCCCTCCAAACCATTTCCCCCGGCCACATTTATCTATTCACCCACATAATGAACTGGCTTCAATCTCCTTCTCCTTTCATTCTTCTAACACAACTGTTCTGAAAAACCTAACCCTTAGTAGAATCATTAAAATCTAAATCATCTAAATCTCAACCAAGCCTATGAAGAAAAACAAAACTTAAGTAATTAACACAATCACAGGAGTGGCTGCTGTAGTGAGAATTCTGGAATTTTTCTTTCTTTAAAAACACAGGAATACTATAAGAATATGTTTTCATTTTACTCCCAGGTGTGGGATGTGGGGCTGCTTTGGACTGTGCACAGCAGCTGGCTATGATTTGCCTTGAGCTCTAGCTGAAGGATGGTTTTGCCAGCTGCAGATAGTTTCTGCGATTGTGTGATGTTTGGAATTCTGGGAACTTCTCAGAGGGTATATAAATGCTAGCGCCCCCTCCCCCCCGTAGGTGGGGTTTCTGGTTGGTGGTCATTCAGGGAAGTTAGCTTCAGTTTGTTAGTACTTGTACTCAAAAAAGAAACAAGAAGAAATAAAATGGATTCAGGGATCTAAACCTCTTTCTCTCCCCCTCTTATCTTTCTATCCTATCTAATGATAGAAGGTGAACAGTGGGGGTGGTAAGAAAGGCTGAAAAAAAGAAGAATCCACAAAGTAGCAAAGACTAGCAACAGGTTGGCTCTACATATTCAAAAATTCCAACATGAAGAGAGTGTTGGAATTGCCACTGTAGTTCCTGGCCAACACCTCCAGTGATTATTCTAAACTCACTACATCCTTAGTCCCTAACTCACAAAAAAAAAAAAAAAAAATTCTATCCCACACCTTTCTCTGCCTTTTCTCTTTAGTCCATTATTCAACCCCTTTAGCTCACATTTTACAAGACCACTGAAATCCCACAGCATATAATCTTGGGGAACTGATACACTGACCATGGCCCTTCCCCCTAAAGTGTCTCTCGTCTTTTAAGATCAGTGATTACATTCTCGCCTCTAATTTTCTACCTCTGACCCTTTCTTCTCCCACTTTTTAGATGAACTGTTACCTCTGTGTCCTATAGCTCTGCCTTCAAATCTTATGCATTGAACAGGGCAATCCCTTCTCTAAAGCTTCAAGCCCATGTCCCTGGTCCCATGTTTCCCTAGTAGATGGCACCAGCATCTACCCATTTGCTCAAAGTAGAACTCTGGAATCACCCCAGATTCCTCACTCACACCTAGGACCAATGTCAATGCCATGCCACTTTAGTGCAATATCTCTGAGGTCCAGCATACTGTTTCATTCTCTCTATAATCTGATACAGGTCAAAAATCACTATAAGAAAAATGATAACTACGTGTGAGTGAAAGACTTGGAAGCCCCTCTTATGAGATGGTTTACCAGGGCACAGCACGCTGGTCTGTTTGTTTGTTTGTTTGTTTGTTTGTTTTTGGCAGATGCATTCTTCTAACTCTATAAATACAGGCAGATAACTGAGCATCCTGGTCTTGAGATTCTCAAATGTCCAACAAAGGGTAATAGAATCTCTGCCTTCCAGACCTAACAGTGTACTGTGACACAGGCCTGATATTGCTGGTAACAAAAAGAACAAGCTAATTTGCCTTTCATGCCAAACCAGAGCAAGCACATCTTGATTTTCAGTGCTTTCCAAAACTAGACCTTCCATTGTAAATGTCAAAGAAATAAAGTGTGAGCAAATGAAAAGCCAAGAGAAATTATAATGGAGCTCATAATAAATACATAAATGCTATTTTACAACAATTTCTTCAGGAATCAAGCATCATAGAATAGCAAAGTATCAGCAAAATGAGTTTGTCAGGTGGGAACAGTAGGGTTGCAGAGACAGTGTTGTGAAGACAAAATGAGTCCGGGTGAAGAAAAGCTTAGAGCTGTGTCGGGTTCCCTGCAAGGACTGGCTAAGCAGTTGCTGATGTTGTCTGGTCTTGGCTTTCCATCTTTGAAAACAGAAATTGTTTTTTCTTGAAAAATATTTAATGGATGTATGATGTTTACCAGATGGATGTATGATGTTTGCCTTGACTGGAATCTTGATATTTTGGAAGTGATCACTTGTTAAACTTTCCTTTGTTGTGTCTTTATTATACAGTAAACATTTTGCTTAATAAGATTTGAAATATTTCACCTGACAAATGAGAAAACTGAGGTGTGGAGGGAAGCACCTACTAAGCAATAGAGCCAAGATGTAAAATCTAGATGTCTACCTCTACAACCTGTGGTTCCATTATTGCACCATGCTGTCCACTGGTGATGATGAAAAATGAGCCACAAGAAGCCCAGCAAACTCAAATGCAGAGCAACTGCAGAACAACAAAGGCCCTGAGGAAACCACCACATTTCAACACGGGCAAGTCATGTTTGTGACTTCATACTGGAAGAAAGAAGGTAAGAAACCACTTAGTGCCTTTAAATTATTTACTGATATTTACATTACTTTAAAAAAAAGGGGGGCAAATGTAAAATCACACATTTCTTGGAGCTCTTAATAGGAGGTATTTACAACACAACATCATTTGTCACTTATATCACAATTAAAAATAAGGATGTTGTGTGTGTGTTTGTGTGTGTGTTCATGCACAAGCACATGTGTAGAAAGAAGACATGTTTTTGTGATGTTTTAACTTCAAGAATGAGAATTTACAGCATAGTTACAAGTACCAAAACAGAGGCCTGAGAGGCAGCTCAGAAGGAAAAACACCTGCACCTGCTCTATAAGCAAGAGGACCCAAGTTCAATCCCCAGAACAGGGGCAGAAAGTTCCACGCAGGTCTGTGACTCCAGTGCTGGGGGGTTGGAACAGGTACTTCCTGGAGTTGCTGGCTCACCCTATCTACTTGACAAGCTTCAGGCCAGTGAGAAATCCTGTCCCCCAAAAAATAGTGGTCAGCATCTAAGAAACAGAAATTGATGTTATCCCTTGTCTCCACATGCACAGGCAAATCTCACACTTTTGTTTGTACACATGCATCCCCGTACACACACACACACTCACACACACAATCCATACTGATAGATGAGTGAGCAAACTTACAGAATCCCATGACTAATGTAGAAAGCCTGAAATCTGACCACTAACAGTAGTTATTTTTTAAAAAGGAAGGAGGAAGAGAAGGAGGAGGAGGAGAGAGGGAGAGGGAGAGGGTGAGGGTGAGGGAGACGGAGAGAGAGAGAGGCTTTGAAGTCATACATAACCTTGAATTTAAATTTTGCCTTTGCTTTTGGAACTGGTAATTTTCACCCAGTCAGTTTCATGGAACTGAGCCTGAGTTATTTCATCTGTCAAGCAAACATAATAATTCATAAGTCGCAACAGTATTGCATCAACTAAGAAGACAATGAAATGTAAGGTGTTGGGCACAGTTCCTGGAGTCTAAAAGATCGTCAACAGTAAACAATACCCTTCTCTGTAACCTCCAATACTGGACAGCATAATCTTTACTAACAGAAATACTGGCAGCCTTCTGAGAATCACACGAAACACAACATACTCTTCAGAAATGACTGCACTAATTGCATGTAGAAACAAAACAAAAGCACGACGCACGAGAATTGAATTGAGCATCAACACGAACCCAACTGTCACCTTTAAAAACCGCAGGCCGTTGTGACTTCCCTGAGCACCACCTTCGCAGTTTACTGTCGCCTGCTAGAAAGGCGCAAAGCGGTAATGACGCTGACAGTCTCCGTGGACAGCACCCCACTGGCTCACCCCACGGCAGGTCGGAGAGATCGCACGCGCTCACTCCACAAGAGGTTGAACTAGGATCCCACGGGCTCACTCACGACAGGTCGTACAGGATCCCATGGGCTCACCCCACCAGAGGTCGCGGGGCAGCGGAACCAGGAGCAGCTTGAGTGACAGCTGAGCCGCAGGTTACCTGTCTCAGCCGCCTGCGTGGCCACTACACTTCCGCAGACTCCGGGTTACCAAGGGCTACCAGGCAAACACCGATGGCGTCATCAATACGCGCCAGGCTCGGCCGCTGCTTTTTCCAGCAGGCCTGTCCCGCGGCCGACGATTGCGCAGGCGCAGGCGCAGGGCCGAGGCTAGGATCCTCCGTATCAGGACTCCTGATTGGTCAACTACACGCACGCCTCACTGAACTACAAGTGTGCACTGTTTGTTTTTGAGACAGGGTCTCTCTGTGTTGTTCTGGGTGGCCTGGAACCCACTATGTAGACCCGCTTGCCTCTGCCTCATGAGCGCTGTGATGAAAGGAGTGCGCGTTTTATTCTTTAGTCCACATTTCTGCAGCCTATGAGTGGAGTTTACATATTGACTTCATCAAAGTCTTAAATAAGATCAAGCTGTGCGCCAGACAGACACTGTTACAGTATCTGCGACTACAGAGGTGGGCCTGTTGTGCCTGCCTTTGTGGAGATTATCTTTGGTTGAGAAAGTGAGTTATGAATTATTCAACAGATAACTGCCTTTTAAAAATTCTTCTATTGACTCAAAATAGAATGCATTAAAATTCTATTATGTGTGCGCGCGCGCGCGCGCGCACACACACACACACACACACACACACAAAGTTCTTATGTTTATTGTGTATGGTGATCTGTATGTATAGGTACATTAATGTACAGGTGCCTGAGGGGTCCAGAAGAGGGTGGCAGATACCCTTGGAACTGTAGTTGCAGATAGTATGGAGAGAAAAGGAAGGCAGAACGACTTTACTGTAGAAGGTCCACTGTCCTCTGAGGAGACTGGTTTAACTGGGAAGAGAGAGGAAACCAGAAGGATCAGAAGCACCTGGCATAGGCAGCTTGTGGCAGCCTTGAAATGGGTTCAGGAAGAACACAGGGTGAGAACAACAAGGCACAGAAGCCCAGTCCTGCAGGGCCTTTCTGGGCCATTGTAAGGAGCATGGATTCCATCTCCAGTGAAAAGTGAGTGACAGGACCTAGCCTTGTAACACTGATCAGGCTGCTATGCGTGCTGGGTATGAAGAACACAGAAAAAAAAAGGTTTGGTGGGATCTGATGGAGAAAAATTGATACATAGAAGGGATAATTTAGAAGTTGATGTGACAGGTGGAGCAGAATTAGATAAGGGTCTTAGATTTTTTTTAAATGAGATTACAAAAACTGCTAAATTTTTAGATAAGCAATTTTGCTGGAAAATGAGAACCAGATTTGTTCCCCCTTTCAACCTTTTTTCCTTTGCCTTCCAGAGTCTACGTTATCCTCTCAATTATCTTTATACCTCCACTCAGTTTCTGCCTTGATCTTTTCCCACTCTCCCCTTTTCTTAACTCTTTCCCACTTGGGTCTTCTTACACTGAAACTGTCAAGTCTTCAGCAGACTTGCAGTTCTACAGGAGGAAGCCTGTGGAGAAGGCCTGAGAAGAAGGGTCTCTCTGGCCCTAATGAGCTTAGTTATCTTTGCCCACCAAAACGCTGGCCTGCATGTAAGATCTTACCAATCTTTTAAAAAAGAAATGAATATAAAAATAGCCATCCACACAAATTCTCCCAAATCTTTAAAAAAGATTTCATAATTATTTTTAAAAATATGTGTATGTATCTGTGTGTGACTAGAAGCCCATGAGTCCAAGTGTCCATGGAAGCCAGAGGCATTGGATCCCCCAGAGCTGTAGTTACAGGCAGTTGTGAGCCACAAGATGTAGGTGCTATGGACCAAACTCAGGTTCTCAACAAGAGCAGTACAGGCTCTTAACCTCTGAGCCATCCCTCCAGCCCCCAAAATCTCCAAATCTCCAGTCTTACACATTAGTGGCTAACTCAAACTTTGTTAAACATTTTTTTTTCCAGGCCAGCTGAAAACTCTCTTCTCCGTGTTCACTATCCGACTATGGTGACCTGTGTTGTGTGTGTGTCACCTTGAAGCTGACAACTCTCAAATCTGCCACTCCATCCAAATCCTTTGAAATGTTTATTAAAAACACACCAGTTCCACTTAAGAAGACAAGTTGACATTTGAAAAGCTAAATTTATTCTCTGTCCCCAACACATGCATTGTTAATATCACTAATGCCTTGCTGATAACACAAGCCTGAAACTAACAATCATCTCATCTCCCTTCCATAGTCAATTGGCATTGACCAGATTCACACTGCACGGATACCCTTATTAACCCTTTCCCTTGCTTAAGTCATCTCTTTCCCTTGCTCAAGTCGTTGCACCCATTTTGTGGGCAAGTCATGTGATCTCTCCATACCCTAGTCTCACTTATAAAATGAAAGCCTTGAACCAGATAGTTCTAAAGTTACTTTCACATGTACAATTCTGTTTTTCTGAACCACCAAACAACAAAACAGTCAGCTAGAATTGGTGGCAGGCAGTCATTTTTATCTTTTATCTCCCATGCAAAAAAAGCCCAGGGCCAGATGGTTTCAGAGCAGAATTCTACCAGACCTTCAAAGAAGAGCTAACTCCAATTCTTTTCAAACTAGTCCACGAAATAGAAACAGAAGGAACACTACCAAACTCATTCTATGAAGCCACAGTTACCTTGGTACCTGGACCTCATAAAGACCCAACAAAGAAAGAGAATTTCAGGTCGATCTCCCTTATGAACATTGATGCAAAAATACTCAACAAAATACTTGCAAACCGAATAAAAGAACACATCAAAGATATAATCCACTAGACCAAGTAGGCTTCATCCCAGGTATGCAGGGGTGGTTCAGTATATGGAAATTCATCAATGTGATCCACCATATTAACAAACTGAAAGAAAAAAAAACACATAATAATCTTCTTAGATGATGAAACAGCATTTGACATATTCCAACATCTGTTCATGTTTAAAGTATTGGAGAGATCAGGGATACAAGGCACATATCTAAACATAGTAAAAGCAATATATAGCAAGCCTATAGCCAACATCAAACTAAACAGAGAAACATAAAGCAATCCTACTGAAATCATGGACAAGGTAAAGCTGCCCACTCTCTCCATATCTCTTCAACATGATTCTGGAAGTCCTTGCTAGAGCAAAAATAAGACAATTGAAGGAGATCAAGGGGATACAAATTGGAAAGGAAGAAGTCAAATTATCCCTATTTGCAGATGATATGATAGTATACCTGAGTCATCCAAAAATTCTACCAGGGAACTCCTACAGCTAATAAACACCTTCAGCAAAGTGGCTGGATACAAAATTAACTCAAAAAAATCAGTATCCCTCCTGTATTCAAAAGAAAAAAGGGCTGAGAAAAAAAATTAGGGAAACAACACCCTACACAATAGCCACATAGGACATGAAGTACCTTGGTGTAACCCTAACCAAGCAAGTCAAAGACTTGTATGAAAAAAATTTCAAGTCTCTGAAGAAAGAATTAGAAGAAGATATGAGAAGATGGAAAGATCTCCCATGCTCATGGCTTGACAAGATTAACATAGTAAAAATGGCCATCTTACCAAAAGCAATCTACAGATTCAATGCAATTCCCATCAAAATACCAACAAAATTCTTTACAGACCTAGAAAGAAAAATTCTCAACTTCATATGGAATAACAAGAAACCCAGAATTGCTAAAACAATCCTCTACAATAAAAGATCTTCTGGAGGTATCTCCATCCCTGATCTTAAGCTGTACTATAGAGCAACAGTTATAAAAACTGCATGGTACTAGCATAGAAACAGAATGGTGGATCAATGGAACCAGAGGACCCAGAAATAAACCCACACACTTATGGACACCTGATCTTTGACAAACATACCAAAACCACACAATGGAAAAAAGATAGTATCTTCAAGAAATGGTGCTGGTCTAACTGGATGTCTACATGTAGAAAATGCAAATAGATCCATACTTATCACCCTGCACAAAACTAAAGTCCAAGTGGATCAAAGACCGCAACATAAAACCAGACACACTAAACCGCTTAGAAGAAAAAGTGGGGAATACCCTTGAACACATTTGCACAGGAGACAACTTCCTGAACAGAACACCAACAGCACAGGCTCTAAGAGCAACAATCAATAAATGGGACCTCATGAAACTGAAAAGCTTCTGTAAAGCAAAGGACACTGTTATCAAAACAAAACGAATGCTTACAGATTGGGAAAAAAATTTCACCAACCCTGTATCTGACAGAGGGCTAATATCCAGTATATATAAAGAACTAAAGAAACTAAAAGCAGGAAATCAAGTAATCCAATTAAAAAATGGGGAACAGAGCTAAACAGAGAATTCTTGATAGAGGAATATGAATGGCAGAGAAACAAAGAAATGCTCATTAGCCATCAGGGAAATGCAAATCAAAACAACTCTGAGATTTCACCTTACACCCATCAGAATGGCCAAGATCAAAAACTCAAGTGACAACACATGTTGGAGAGGTTGTGGAGAAAGAGGAACCCTCCTCCACTGCTGGTGGGAATGTAAACTTGTACAACCACTCTGGAAATCATTTGGTGCTTCCTCAGACAACTAGGAATAGCACTTCCTCAAGATCCAGCTATACTATTCCTAGGCATATACCCAAAAGAGGCTCAAGTACACAATAAAGACATTTGCTCAACCATGTTTGTAGCAGTTTTATTTGTAATATCCAGAAGCTGGAAACAACCCAGATGCCCCTCAACTGAGGAATGGATACAGAAATTGTGGTACATCTAAACAACGGAATATTACTCAGCAATAAAAAAAGAAGAAAATCGTGAAATTTTCAGGTAAATGGTGGGAACTGGAAAAGATCATCCTGAGTGAGCTATCCCAGAAGCAGAAAGACACACACTGTATATACTCACTCATATAGACATATAATATAGGGTAAACCTACTAAAAACTGTACACCTAAAGAAACTAATCAAGAGGGAGGACTCTTGCTAAAATGTTCAATCCCCATCCTGAAAGGCAAAAAGGATGGACGTCAGAAAAAGAAGAAAACAGGAAACAACTTAGGAGCCTGCCACAAAGGACCTCTGAAAGACTCTGCCCTG